GCATCACAGCTTTCGCACTAATATCTCAGTAACTAAAACATGTCCTTTTAAATGAACAACATAATGGAGTTGCCTCAATGTCATGCTTATCTTTCCGTCAGCCATATCAGGTGGCTCCTGGATCTCCCGACTTGACCTCTTCCATCCCTACCTTGAAGATGGGCGTCTGAAACAAGGTGACTGCGGACACCACAATAGCAATGAGATAGATGAAGAAGAACAACCGGTCAAGGACCAAAGCAACCAGCTTCCATTCCCGAGCCAGGTATTCTTTGTTCGCTTTCTCCGCGTTTTTGTCCGCCATTCTCTTTAAATGTCTTTTTATATCCCGAACTTCCGACTCAAGCAAAGCAAACTGGGAAGATACTTGGTTAGTTCGTTCTGGGGGATCAGTCTCACTGCCTAGACCGTTGGTTAACTGTTTCCAGTTCTCCTCAGGCTGAAGCTCGTAAACTCCGACACGATCATACTTGAACTCATGACGTCTGTCTTTCGGTCTTATGTAGGTGACGTTACAGCTGGTACCACTCGAAAGCGTTGGTGCTTCCAATCCTTCATCTAAGCCATTGAAAATGACGCTGTTCCTTCTTTCGTCTCTTTCTTTCTTGTCCATGAGGGTCTCTCGCATACAAAATACCTTGGCAAAGAAATCCAGCATCAACTGAAATGAATAACACATAGAAAGGTTATCGGATAACAATAAACCAGTGTGACAACCTGAAATAATTTATTATAAACGAAACCCTTCGCTTCTTGCTAAATACTTCTTCATCCACTCTTTCATTCTCAAAACAGCAGTTGACTCGTTACGTCCAACGACAAATGCGCGTCAAATCATTCATCACGCAGAGCCACGTTCACAACATCAGTGCACCTAATCTTACATGCTCTGTAACACATGTCGCTGAATCACACGCTTCTGAACAGCCATGTTCACCTTGTCAACGCTGATTAGAATAATATAATATTCGCACAATATTTTACCAGTGCTATATTTGGCCAAATCTGGCCACAAAAGAAACAAGAAAAAATTCTTTCACCAGAGAACACATGTCTTAAAGTAAGAATTAAATATGATTGATTGTCTGGCTGCAAAATGCTTAAAGTAACAATTAGAAGAGATTGATTGTCTGGTACAGACAGCTAAACGTAACATCTGAAAGAGATTCGTGTGCAGAATAGTTGAGGTATCCCAGGTTTGACCAGTTGGCATTGCAATGAAAGCCAAGCTGTATTGAATAGAGGAAGAAATACATTGCACCACAGACTTTACTAAGGCAAGTGGGCACATCTGAAAACCACTGACAGGGATTGGTCTATAAAATATAGGTCTAACCCTATATGCCCAATATACCTGAAGGCGTGACAAAGGGTCTTTTTTAGAGACACTTTGTCTGAGCAGAATTTTTAACGTAACAATTAGACAAATTGATTGTCTGACAAAAATTTTCAGTGTAACAATTACAGAGATCGATCGTCTGAGCAGAATTTTCGGCTTAACAATTAAAGAGATTGAATGTCAGAGCAGAATTTTCAATGTAACAATTAAATTAATTGTCTGAGGAGAATCTTCAACCTAACAATTAGACAGATTTGTTGTCTGGGCAAAATGATTAATGTCACAGTTTGGGACAGAATAAGAATTTAAAAAAAAAATGCCATTCAGTAATAATAATAACAGCAATAATAATAATAATAATAAGTTATAATAACCGTTGTATATTCTACACAGGACTTCACAAATGTAGCACTGCTTTTATGAGCGTGTTGTGGATTTTCTATGCAGTTGTACGTCCAGTAGTTTGGTAGTTTCACACTACGGTGCGACGCTTATATAGTAATCCAGGTCAACACAAAATGTTGCTACCAATTTATCAGCAGCCTTCTACGAGCCACAAAATGTGGCGTTAAGAAACTAGGTTGAGATTAGATCAGAACTGCATCATAGAATCGGGGACACCTCAGTAAGCGATCTGTTCCCATCTTCAGCAGCAAATTTATAGTTCTGGTTCTGGTGGAACCAGTAGCAGAGTGATAATATCCGTCTGTCTTGACTACATCTGAGCATTGAGTGTCGACCAGATCCCCTAGTCACTCCTCACTGCAAGATTCTCTCCTGACTGTGACGATCTGTTTGTGTTTCTACACTTTTCAACTACTGACGATCTGTTTGTGTTTCTACACTTTTCAACTACTGACGATCTGTTTGTGTTTCTACACTTTTCAACTACTGACGATCTGTTTATGTTTCTACACTTTTCAACTATTGACGATCTGTTTATGTTTCTACACTTTTCAACTACTGACGATCTGTTTGTGTTTCTACACTTTTCAACTACTGACGATCTGTTTGTGTTTCTACACTTTTCAACTACTGACGATCTGTTTATATTTCTACACTTTTCAACTACTGACGATCTGTTTGTGTTTCTACACTTTTCAACTACTGACGATCTGTTTGTGTTTCTACACTGTTCAACTACTGACGATCTGTTTGTGTTTCTACACTTTTCAACTACTGACGATCTGTTTGTGTTTCTACACTGTTCAACTACTGACGATCTGTTTATGTTTCTACACTGTTCAACTACTGACGATCTGTTTATGTTTCTACACTTTTCGACTACTGACGATCTGTTTGTGTTTCTACACTGTTCAACTACTGACGATCTGTTTATGTTTCTACACTGTTCAACTACTGACGATCTGTTTATGTTTCTACACTGTTCAACTCACCCCCACCCACTTCCACAAAGGACCATGACCACACGTATTATGTCACACCACATGAGAACTAGCCAATCTGGCCGCCTGTTCGTCAATTACGCTAACAATCTTTAAACCAGAGTACACTACATTAAATCAACAAAGCTGACACAAAGGAGGGTACCGCGTGGTCTCGAGGCATGGTGTCCACCTCGAGTGCTAGAGGTTCCGGGTTTAATCCCCCGTAAGGGCTGGGATTTTTTCACGTGGACTTGGACTTCTAGTAATTCCTCCTGGTCTCTGTGTAGTGGGGACGGACGCCCGTGTGTGTTGTTGCGCACGTAAAAAATCCCTTGGCAGTTGGAAATCGAAAAGAGTAACCGGGGCTGCCCGGGCAAACTGTGGAGTTAAAAGTCTACCTAAAGTATTTCAGGATCCTCGCCGGTCCAGATTGGTTGCCTATACCCCACTTAATGAAAAATTCGTAGTTTATAGAAGACACGCTGGAGACGAACACCTGAGAGTGAGAGCCTAGGGCATTAGGAATAATGATGTTCTGTTAATGAATTAGAAAACAACATCAGGAAATGAGAGAATGGGGTTGAGAACGTGTAATTTCTACAGGACACAAAAATATTATACAGCAGACAATTTTCTACAACACATGTGGTTTAAACGATGGAATACGTTGATGTTTAGCAATAATATTAAGAACTCCACAGGGGAGCATGCACAGCAGGGGTCCACCGATCTTCAATAGAAAGATCCATTGCCGACGACTGTTTAGGCCCGTTACTTCCTAGACAATCTCGGCAGGTGGGCGCGACCAGGGTCATGACTTTAGGCCTCTTCCCCTGCTGCCCTTTATCGGACTCTCAGACAGGGACAAGACGATAAGGTGACTGTCACAACCCTAAGAGTACAGTCAGTGGCGGAATAGACTACACCGTAAGGTGTGTGTGTTGAGGTGACACCCCAGGTTTGACACAAAGGTCAGGGCCGTAACTGGTCAAGTCTGTTCTGTTATTGCACGGTGAAACCAGCTCTCAGGATAAAGCGTTTGGCCACGGCAAGAAAGAGGGAACTTTGTTGTGGACAAGTCCGCAACACGATTACCGCTTTTGGGACTGAGCTGGTGAACGGGGTCAAGAGGCAGGAGGTGGAGATAGGATAGTGATAGGATATTAGAGTTAGGATATTTCTGTTAGTGACTGCATAGTTTATGTACAGTTTTCTGTTAGAATAGGATAGTTTTTGTGTAGTGTATTTAACTGGTACAAGGTATTATGTTGTTCCATAAGAAGTAAATAGGTTCCAGTTACTTCTGACCAGTTAAATCAGTTATGTACATGTTCTGTGGGAGAATGTCTAACCTTGGCACCCTGACCCTGTGCTAGACAGAGGCTGTGACAGTTTGGTTGGTCAGTGTGTCGATAGTTAAGAGCGTATCTCGTGACCGTGTGGTTTGTTCACCAGGGGATTGCTTGTGGAACGTACTGGGAGCGAGGCGACTGTAAAGCTCGTTCCGCCAGAGGGTCCAAGCAATAGGTGGCCACACAGCGGGAAGTCAACTGTCTATTGTATTACCTGTACTTACAATAAAGATTGTAGTGCGTGCTCTGTGTGCGTTCGGGTTCAGTGTGTGTAAAAGGTTAGTCTGTCTGTCATAGGCCCAGTTACGAGCCACGGACCAGCAAGGTCACCCAGAGGTCTGTGACAGTGACTTTGCAAAAGGTATTGCGAGATTGGTTTTAGTAGTAACATAAGTAAAATTTAAGAGCGTAAGGAAAGGTGTACGATAAGTGTGCTGCCTCCTGATTTGTTTTAATTATACAAAGGATAGAGAAGAGGATCTGTAAAGAATATGCCACGGATCGTGGCTGGTGGTCATAACATAGATATTCTACGTTATACTAATAACACGCCGTGATAGCAACAAATCAAAAAGAACTACACGAATTTCAAGATCAGTGGCTGTAGAAAGCGACACATGGGTACTGGTTTAATTAATGGTAAGTCTAAACTAATTGCGTTACTAAAGAAAATGGGAAGGTCAGTTGCGTTATCTTAAGAAAAGCACACAGGTTTAAGTATCTAGGCACGTGGGTAACATCAGATGGAAGGTCAGATAGATAAAGAAAATAATAGGGCTAGCACAAATTGCATTTTATGAAGTGAAAAACATTATACAGTGAAACCACATAATAAAGTGTAAGAAAAAAAAATCTTGCACCCTATTTATATATAAAGCCAGGTGTAACGTAAGGCTGCGAATCCTGGACGATTGATAAACAAAACTAGGCCTCAGAGGTGTAGTTTTAAATAAGAATGTTTACAATTTCATTGACAGCAACAACAAGTAATCTCGATGTTCTGAAAAATGATATGGCCCGAAGCTAACCTACAAATATCCGAAAAAGACGGTCATCATTTTGGAAAAAAAAAATGGAGATTGCCCTTTGACTGGAACAATTCGTGGAAAACGAGACAAAAGAAAGACAACGCTAGAAGATTCTTGAGAGTTTTTTTTTTTTTACAAAACATGAAAGGGTGTCAGTACTGGTGACGGAGGTTGGGTTAAATGTTTTTCTGTATTATACATTTACTTGAAGGAAGAAAGAAAGACAGCCCAAAAAAAAAAAAAAAAAAAAAAAAGGGGGGGGGGGGGGGGGGGGAGGTTGGCGGGGCAAAAAAAAAAAAAAAATGTTGGGAAACGATATAAGAAGAAGAGGGAAGTTAAACTATTTTAGTAATGCTTTCACACAATTAAAGCTTGGTTTAACAGTAGCTAAACTAATGTCTTAGAGAGAAAAAATAATTTATAATTAGGATACAACTGTATTCTGCAAAATGTAGTGCGAAAGAAAATATATCAGATGCGCCATTTAATATGCACTACCTATTAAAAAAACCATCTGTAAATCTATCAGTACAACTCACTATGCGTTTAGTGGTTGGCATTAATACAGTATGCTTTTAAAACTTCCTAATCAACAACAAATAAAATGTTATGGATAGATTCTCAATATTATGAAAAGGGACGAACCGATATGATTTATAGAAAAAAAGATATATAAGAAGACAATTAAATACTATTAAAAAAAAAAGAAGAAGAAACACGGTTCTTGAAAACCCTTTGTTATGGCACGCGCACGAACTAATACACTCTGTAGGCGATCGTCAGTTGTATACTAGCTTTATGACCTATGACAGTCGGCAAAGCTGGCCATGATAATATTTCTGATGATACTGTTAAACCTCTGCCCAATCCAACAGTGATATGTGGTCGGTGAGTACCTTTTACTCTATAGGAGATGTATATAGTATGTGATACTCACCCTTCTGAAGATCCGAGGGACCTTGGTGCCAGGTCCATGGAAGTACAGGTTCACAATGACCACAGACAGCAGCGTGGACAGCGTGATCAGGATCATGTTAAGGCAGTAGTAGGCTCCTGGCAGATATACAGTAACTAGTGTTTGCAAACATGACAAAGGACGTATAAACTTAATCTCAATGGTCATGGCAGAGTCCATAAATATGCGTACGCAGTAAATGTATATGACAGTTGCTGGAGAAACCAAAGCCAACAGTCGTCACCAAAAATGCAGTTTGTCGTTGATGGAAGCAGTCGGGCACGAAAAGATGGCTGGCTATACGGACGAAGAAATATTATATAAAGTAATTTCACCACCTCACTCGTAAAGGTAATATCAGTAATATTGTGTTTATTCGTACATTATCGTTGCAAAGTCAAGGTTCTAGTTATATGAATTACAGCTACGGTTGCATAGCAGCTAAACACTAGCCTCCTGGCCCCATAGTATTAGGCTTGAATCCACATCAAGTCGAAATTGGGCTCCTAGGTCGACCTAGCCTAAATTAGATAATGTCCTAGGCAGTAAAGGCGGCCAATGTGATGTTGACAACATCACCCATTCAATTCTGAATGGTCTGTAAAATATGGTTCAAGAATGGACCGATGCCCTGTGGCATTAAAAGAGTCCTTTACTTTGCAGTATATTACTGCAAGGTAAAGTCCCGTGAAGTAAAGCCGGCCGGCGTGATGTTGACCACATCACTCGCTGAGTGCCGACTGTTCAATAAAATATAAGTATGATCCGATGAACTCAATGCACTGAAGGCGAGAAAAAAAGGTCCTTTATTTTTACTTACTTCTAGATATACAGTACATACGCCATTCTCTCCGCCATGGAATTGGAAAACAGGCCCTCAACTAGATCACACAAAGTTTATCCTAGTCTTTGCCATAGCGTACAGATCGTGTGGTACTGGGACAGTTGAGGGAAACAATGACCCGTGTAACTGCACCCTGCCAAGCATGTCATAAGAGACAAGAAAGGATAAGTTTGGAGTTTGGGGTTGGCAATGTTATTCCTTAAAGCACTATAGCCACAAAGATAGACCAAAAATGTATCAGTCAGACAGGAGTATTAAAAAAAGATGAGCTAGTTAAAGGAAGATTGAGCTGGGTTGAAAGCCGACATCACAGCATCGGGACGTTTCCATAAACCCTCCGTCCTCTCTTCAGAGTTCCATTTCCAATACTACTACCAGTAGTCCGATTTTAAGCCCGTCTGGCATCTTTTCTGAGATTAAAAAAGACAGGAATACTAGACAATTTCTCAAATCTGAACCCTTTGAAAAATACGTTCGTTCTTTCTTTCAATCCCTTACTCATTTGCCTCGACTTTTTACACCCTTCTCTTCTTCTTGCATTAGTTCTCAGGTGTCCAATCTAGATTCAAATATAAACGTCCCTTTCAGCCCAAAGGCAGATAGATCTGTGTGAAGTTTATCAAGAACATAACATACTTGACGTGTATATTATTTCTGCACAGGGTGGCGGGCGCGGAATATAAACTAAATGCCAGCTTATTAAAAAAGATGATTTTACATTTCTGTGAGCACGTGTTCACGTCAAACATACAGACTTACAACTGCAATTTACTGCTTCTTAGAAATTTAATGTAAGGGTTTCCATATGTCTCCAGCATCCTCATAAGGGATGTTTATGTTATGAAACTTAGAATGTCCAGCATGTATGAATGTTTGCACGTACATGTGTGTGTGTATGTGGGCGTGCCTGCGTGTCTGTGTGTATGCGTGTGTGTGCGCGCGCATATGTGTGTATGTTTAAATGCATGCATATATGCAAGTCCATATGTATTATACTTGTATGCACACTAACACTAGCATGTATGTGTGCATCATGTGGTATCTAATATGTAAGTAGATACCCCAATAACATTGTGCACATCCTTGTTTAACAATGTAAATGTTTTAAAATAATATAAAGTAACTAAGTAAAGGAACTTTTTAAGCCAGTGACGTATAGGGCATGTATAGTTTGACTTATATGTCTACATAGCAACCAACAACACTCCAGGGGTGACGTGATTCCGGCCACCTTTATTTTCAATGGCATTTCCTGGTACCCATGTAAGCTAGGTCCAGCTTGGGAGTCGGGGTCAATGTCGTAAAAGTCGACTAATCAAGGGTCTTTCTTCAAAGTCTGAACGGCAAGAAAGCAGCATTTTTCTTGCACATAAGCCAGATCTGTCAAATGTAAATGCATACAAAATTCAAGCGCCCCCCTCCCCCAATCTCTCCCCCCCCCCCCGGTGTGTGTTGGAACCCATGTCCTTTGCCCAGGCATACCAGTATCTGACCACTAGGATACCGCTGTTTTAAGATTACTATTACTTTATATTTTAGCAATCTTGTCTTCTCCAGTTCTACCTGTCCTGATTAAGGATGGTAGATTCAAAAGCTAAACTTTGTATTGCTACACACTTAAGGTTGCGCAACTTCCTTTCGTCGCTTCATTTCTCATCCTGTTATATTTTTCTTCCCCTATGGTGTTCTGTCCTAAACAAAGGTTGAATTGGCTGAAACGTCGCACGCCTCTGTCTGTTTCTGATATTTTTTTTTTGGGGGGGATACATATTGCTCCAGTTTCGTAATATTTTTTTCATACATGGATTATCATTTGGCCTGGCCGAATTCCAAGTAATAGTTGTTGCGTCGCAATATCCCCACATGCTTTTACAGTTTTGTTTTATCTATTATTTTTGGGGGAACGGGTTGAAAACATTTAAGCACACATATTCAGAGTTATGTTCACTTTAAACACGTTCCTGTGAGGGGACAAAATCAGTAACAATTATCCAGCGACAGAACATGACAAGAAAAGGTAAACATTTCTCTAAAATATATCTTCATTTTCAAAACATGTGATACAGTGTATTGTATGTTTACATTTAATTGTTCGTACCTTGTAATAAAAGATGGTGTAAGTAACGTAACAAAGTAAATAATGTATATACATCATCATGATTATCATTGCCACCACCAACATCATCATCATCATCATTTTTATCATCATAATTCTTCTTCTTCTTCTTCTTCTTCTTCTTCTTCTTCTTCTTCTTCTTCTTCTTCGACTTCTTCTTTCCACTCCTCCTCTTACTTCTTACTGTCCCCTTTATCCCCAAACAAGACAAAAGATATCTGAATCATCACTAACATCATAACCTCCAACACCAACCCCATCATAGACGTCATCTTCTTCTTCCGTTTTTTAGCACAACCGTTGTCATCATCATCATGATCGTCATAATCATCATCATCTTTCTTGTCTTTTGCTTCTTCTCCTTCTTCTCATTTTCTTTCTTATCCTCCTTCTCCCTCTTCCTTTTTACCCAACACACACCCAGCACACTGTATACTTTGCTCAAGCTTGACGATATCCTTGAAACAATTGTGTCGTATATCATACTCCTTCGTCACTTCTTACGACCTACAATGTAGACTAGATTAATTTATTTCTTGTTTTTTAGTTACAGACCCCGGTAACACACATGTGACAGTGTATCTTGTCTTTAATTTAATTTTATTATTCAATTCAAAGAATCCCGAAAAACGTGTAACAAAATAAACAGTTTAACTTTCAAGGGACGTCGTTCTGGTAATTCTCGTTCGAATGTAAAAAAAAAAATGACAGCGAGAAAAGTTAACAACGTAATGGACGAACTTGTGAAACATTTACCTATAAGAGGAATGCTGGACGCAGCGGGTGGTGTTGACTCCGCCAGAAGCAACAAAAGCACAAAGAATGCCACGAAGATATTCATCCCTGTAATAAAAAAAAACACAGAAGGCATTGTTAACGCCGCTTTGATGTATTTGGTTTTTGTTAACTAACGACAAACTCAGCTTGTCTAGACAGATGGAAAATCTGTTAAGTAGCATTCAGCTTATAGTGATTTTCCCTAACACTAAATGACAGTAACAGTGCTGTATTAAATCATGCATGAACATCCCTAAAAACTTGCGAGTATGTGCTTTCAGCATTACTTGGGGGAAAAGTGCCTTGGTATATCTTCCTTCGGTTTTGAAAGTATGGCTGTACGAAATATAATTCCTATGAATAGACGTTATAGTTGCCAGAAAGAGTTGCTGACATGCTTCTGGCGCTGTGAGTCACAGTCAATGAGCGTGAGTACAGACGTGAAGTTGTATGAGCCGTCTTTATCTAGGTCAGCGGCTCTCAACCTTCGGGAGTTGAACAAGCATTTCACAGAGTTCGCCTTAGACTATCGGAAAACACACATTAACTGAAGTTATGAAATAGCAACGAAAATAATGTATGGTTAGGGGTCAGCATAACACAAGGAACTGTATTAAAGGGTTGCGGCATTAGGAAGGTTGAAAACCACTGATCTAGGTTCTTCTAAACGTTGACAACTTTAAAATAATTATAGTGTAGTGGTTTTCAGCCTGGGGTGCAAGGAATTTTCAAGAAAGGTGTCAAGCCATTTTGGAAATGAATGCATTTGAACATGCAATGTTCTGTTATACTAACACTAGTTTTCGGTTTAATTTTACATTAAAATTTAAAAGTCATGAAAACAAAATAGCGCTGCCAGCTTGATGTTGAGAGTGACCACACAAAAAAAGCTAATATCATCAAGACAAAACAGTATCACACCTAATATTGTTATATGGATACTAATTTACCAGTTGTTGATGATTGTTTCTTATGATTTATTAATTTTTTGTTCCCATTGGTTCTTGTTTTTTTTTCTTAAAGTTATTGTTTATAGTGTTTGAGATTTTCCCCTCCTCCCTTGAATGTATTATCTCTCTCTCTCTTTGTTAGTAAAAAAAAAAAAAAGAGGGGGGGGGTGGGGGTGGGGTGGGGTGGGGATTATGGCAGTCTTGCCATAAATTTAAAAAAAAGGGAGGGGGGATGGTAGTCTTACCAAAAAATTAAAACAATAGGGGTAGGGGAATAGCAGTCTTGCCAAATAGTCACACACAAAAAAAGGTGGGGGGTGGGGGGGGGGGGGGGGAGACAAAAAAAAATGAAAACAACTGTTTTAGTGTAAGTAATAATTCTTGGACAGTGTAACAAGAGGAATGTAATACACGTGTCTCTCCCTCCCATTTCCTATATCCCTGCCTTGTTTGTGTCTCTTTTTGCATCCATCTATACATCCATAATTTAACACACATCTAACTATCCCTTCGTCTGTCAGTCCGTCTCTCTATATGTCTATATTAACTTTACAATATTACTCTCGAAAGACAGCTAATTTCTGTGACAGTCAGATATCCGTAAGAAGATTGCAGGTCTACGATTTTACATATGTTATCTCTATCCTGGTATTGTGTTTGTTACTGGGAACAAAATAGGGTATTTCAAAAGGGCTCCGTGCAATTTCCTGTCTGCACATTTAACCGCTTCTTACTAAACAATATGTCTGTAATGCGATGACACAAAGACAGAAGTACTTTTTACTGAGTTTACTGAACTACCAGTAGTCCGTCCGGCCATTTTCAACCGGTGCAACCGAACTTTAAAAAAAGTAAAGTAAAGGATCCTTTTCCACACCTTAAGGCGTATAGGGCATAAAGGGTTAGACCTTTTTTTAATAGACCGAACAGAAAAAGATATGTGAGGTAGCCAGCATCACGCCGGCCGCCTTTACATCCCGAGACTGCGCCTGGTACCCACTCAAGGCTGGCTCGACCTGGGAGTCAAGGTCATTTACAAAAAGCTGCAGCCCCGCCAGGGAGGGAATCTATGACCTTCCCATCCGCACGCGAGCGTCTAGCACAAATGAAATATTAAGTTTGAATTAATCACTAAGAACAAAAGTATAATTTCGTTAAATAAAAACAAAAATCACGAGAGAAATGGGGATATGAAAACACATAAATATATTTGCTTGACTTTGTTTCTAGCTTTGTCGTTGCTTGTATACTGATATCAAGGTATTCTTTTCAGATGACCAAAAAATTCATCTGTGTTTGTTTTGTGAACTATATAGGTGATTTCCGTCAACGTCCTTGTCTTATTTATCCATCAATTACCTAAACACAATAAATACAATAAAAAAATTACAAAAACAGAAAATGTAGATTGATTTAACTGACAGGCCTTTTTCACCCCACTGACATTTCGTGCACTGAGTGAAACAGTAATGGGTATAGTCATTTCCCTGGGTTTTATTCAATATAGTATTTCTCTCCGCAAAACGGCTAGTCGCCTGTTGAGAGCATCTCACAAAGCACAAAACCCTAGCTCCGACGACGATTGTGCTTATAGTGCTAGAGTCATATTTGTCTTATAGATCAATCAGCAATGATTGTGTGATGTAATCACCATCATGCCTTTCGCCTTTACTCTCATGCTTTTTGTGAGTAGTAAACAGTCTGGAGTCACAAAGAAATCATCAATGTCTTAATAGAATAGAGCAGCCAGATATGACCCACATAAATCACCCAAGGAAAAGGCGAGAAGACATAACAGATCAGATTGCTACAAAGCAAAACCAGAGCAAGTCCTTTTTCTACGTCTTAGAACAGGACTCAGTTGACTTCGTAGCCACATGTACAAAAAATTTAAAAAGGCGAATCAGCCATGTGCACATATGGATTGGTACCTGAAACAACAGATCACGTCCTCCAAGACTGTCCCGAATACAAAATATCAAGGAAAAACTTCTGGTCAAGATTAACACAGGTGGAAGTTAAACTCTACGGATCACTGAGTGAGTTACACAAGACAGTGAAGTTCATACTAGAGACAACATTGCAGATAAATATAATCTATTGCAAGCGAACGAAAGAAGAAGAAGAAAAAGATTGTTACAGGTACCATCAGAATTAGGACTTGGCGCTAGCTGCTACGGATGGGGACGTAGCCCTTATGGGAATATTCCGAAATCTGTGATATTGATTCTTAACTCAGCTAAGCTAAATCTATCTCTCATGCCATTTGATGCAACCATTTTGGTCTAAATCGGCCTGGGAAACCAGATCAATTACAAAAAAAAAAAAAAAAAAAATAAGCAATATTTAATTATTGTAATGACCCTATTATTACTGTACCTAGTTGCATCTTTGCCGGGGACTCGGGCGGCAGCCAAAACAATACCAAAGTCAGACTGGACAACAGAACACAAGGTAAAATCAGGATGTAGTTGTAGAAGGCCACTTTTCTGCGGATGACTAGCCTGAAAACCAGATCAACATAAGGCTCTGGACAACATGGATAATATTTGACATTTCGTTCCCCAGTAGAGGTTTCTATGTCCCACTCATTGCTCAGAATGTAGTCGGTCAGTTCGAAGCCAGTCGTTGTATTGTAATGGAACTGTGGAATGTATAGATTTTGAGTTAGCTCATATTGACTGACGAATTATAAAAAAAATTATATATTACACTTAACCCTCTGTTACAGCACCAGTTGGTAGATTCCTACTGACTGCCGTAAATGAAGGTAATGGATTTGAATCCACACTTTATACGTTTTTTTAAAGCCATGCTCTGAGGTCGATTTTGCCTAAAATAGGTACCAGGAAATATCCCGGGAGGTGAATGCGACAGGGGTTTTGTTGATTATGTCGCCTATTGACTTCTCATTGGTCTATACAAATATGAGTATTGCATCATATGACTGTTGTGATAGATGCGCAAAAAAAAAGTCCTTTACTTTCTTGTTTACAATCATCTTCGCTTCTTCTCTCTCTCCCTCTCTCTCTCTCTCTCTCTCTCTCTCTCTCTCTCTCTCTCTCTCTCTCTCTCTCTCTCTCATGCACTATGATAAACACACAGATGCATTGAAAACATCATAATCCTGCAGCAGGTCCCTTGCAGAACGTCGTTCTCCCCACGGTCTGCTTGAAAGAAACCTGTATACTTTATTTTCAAGAAGTCACTTGTATAATGCCCATCTTCGTGTTGGTCGGCCTATGCCACTCTTTCCTGCCACTACGCCTTCAACTATTATTCTTTTCAATCTTCTATGGCGCTTTATATGTCCGAAATATTTCAGCGTGAGGGACAAAATGCTGTTTATTAGCCAATCTTCAGTATGTTCAGATCTTTTAAAATGTCTGTATTTCTTCTCTTCTTGATTGAAAACATAATACATTTAAACAGCCACCCGAAGTTAAGAGATGAGGATATCCCACTGAAGACAAGAATACCTGTAGGTCGACTTTGGACCCATCGTATGTCCACGAACCAAATTTCAGGTGGCACCTTTGCACATCGAAAGGGAAATGTCTTATATCTATAGAGCAGGAGCTTTTGAAAACAGCTTGTGGGATCCAGACAACATCACCATTGCTGGACAACACACATAGAGCCTCCCTCTTTTCCTCCAGTCGTGTATCCGCGCTGAAAAAATAACACCATAAAGGGCACACTTCATTAGTTATACAAATCTAATTTACAGAGCACCCACTGAAACAAAGTAGCTCCAAGGGTTCGTGAAATATGAAATCGTCAGTTTCCATTTAAAAGACGAGGTCAAGAATAGAGCAACAAAATTTAAGAATTCCTCTTTAGTTATTTTTTTTTTTTGGGGGGGGGGGGGGGGGGAATTTATCTTGTTTTTCTTGTTGTTTTGTTGCAAATTGTTTTTATTTCATATGTTAATAAAGACTATAATCGAGAGGTGTGAATGTGCTGTTTGTGCCTTTCCAAGTCAAAGTGTGTTCTGTGTTAAATTACTTCTTGATATTTATCAAACTAACAAACAATTTTCTGTGAGAAGATTATGTTATAAAAGGAATACAAATAGCTTACACTTGTGAATTCGGACTATATGTAGAGATTAGAAGTAAATATAAAATACATTTGAAGGATCATTTCACGTTACTAGCGAATCAGGGATATGGTAAGCATGTGAAGGACCCTTTTTTCCACGCATTTTGGGCATATAGGGCTAGACCTATACATTATAGACCTGACGACTCCAGATGGTTGATATGGTTTTTATCACACCGGCCGCCTTTACTTCTAATTATTTTACATAGTACCCATTGAAGGCTGGGTCGACATGGGAATCAAGATCATTTAAAAAAAAAAAAAGGCCTGTACCCATGACCTTCGGATCCTCAGGCCCACCACATCGGTTTCAAAGGTAAATATGTAACGGTCAGTTATCCCGTCTTTTGCGAAACGGGTACACAGTACCTATCATCATCATCATCGTCATCATCATCATCATCATCATCATGATCATAATCGTCATCATCATCACTATCATCATCGTCATCATTAGCTGACTTGCTGACTGGCGTGGGCAATCATGCCTCTCCACAATCTGCGATCTCCTGCAGCATGTATCAGTTCGTGTGCCGACACACCTCCATGCCATGCAACAAGACTGTCAAGAATCTTCTCTCGTTGTTTCCTCTATTCTTCTTTCCACAGATCTTTCTAGTGGTCACAACATATTCCATTCCACTGATGACTATCTCCTTCTGATGTCAGTGATAAGTTGTCTTCGAGCTCCCGCCTCTTTCAAAACCTCTTGGATGCTGTTTTTGGCTGTCCTATTCTGTTTCTTATCTCAGTAATGCATCTTCCATCTGATATTATCCTTGTGCCCAAAACCTTACATTTCTGTACTTGTCCCGAAAATAACACCATTGACTTTTATTACACACTTAGGAATAATTCTTTTCAATAATTCTGTCTTTCAAATTATTCATGTACCTACTTGGTCTCGAGGCATGGTCCCAGGTTTAAGCCCCGATGAAGGCTGGGAATTTTTCACGGGGATTTCTACTAATTTCCCCCTGGTCTGTGGGTAGTAAGACCGGACGCCGGTATGTACTGTTGCGCACGTAAACAATCTTTTAACAATTGGAAATCAAAAAAGGGTAGCCTCACGGCGCTTCCCGGGCAAAAATTTGGAGTTAATCTACTTAAAGCATTTCAGGATCCTTGCTAGTGCTACAGAGTTCGTGCACTGCGCTAAGATTCTTCCAGCTCAGGCTTGAGTTAGAAGACGAACGGAGTACTTATGAGTTACACTAGTGTGCCATGATGTTGATCCGTTGAATAAACATACACATTCCATTATTCGAACTAGGGCCAGTTTTTCCACCACACAGTACTAGGCCTGTAAAGACCAGCCAGCACTGCCAAATGACCTACAACACACTGAAATATATCACCCTCACTGCGGATTTAAACCCTAGACATTTGAACCACCAGGCGAGAACGTAGCCATTTTACTACCTGGCTTCCAGGTACATGGAACTAGGGTCATGCTGTTAGTCAGTACGCAACACTCGATGATGATTTGCTCAACATCTCACCAGCGGTCTTTACTTATTTCCCGTTACCCATTTTGGCTAAGATGACTTGGATCAATTATTTGAAGAAAAAAAAATTTCAGTTCTCAAATTTGAACTCAAGATTTTCGGATGAGTCAGTCAAGCGTATCTAAAGATTATGTGCTACGGTTTTGCCTTTAAAACCATGTACTTTTGAAACGGGGTCAGCCAAAGTTATACCAGTCTCAGCGCTTATAGGCTTCGTGTGAACTTGTAACCAGGGATCAATATATTGAACTCGTTATCGGAAAACTAGAGCGTTATATAGTCTACATGAAGCAGTAACGATAATGTCCTCAGACGTCGCCCAGACAGCAGACCATGACAAATGCCAATACAGCAGGCATCGGTGTTAAGATGATTCCTGGCAGATGCCAATACTCACACTCGTTTACTGTTTTAATGAGAGTAAAAAGAATCTAGAAATATCCAAAGAAACAAGTTACCAGGACAGACAGACACTGAAGGATTAGAAAACGAAGGAGGGGGTGAAGAATGATGATGATGATTATTATTGCGATAAACAGGAGGGGAAAATTCAAAGTAGAAGATGAAGACGTAGAAGAAGGAGAAAGAAGAATAAATGTAAAAAAAGAAAGAGAGAAAGAAAGAAAAAAAAAGAAAGAAAAATTGAAATAAAGAAAGAAAGAAAGAAGGAAAAAAGGAAAGAAGGAAAGAAAGAAAGAAAGAAAGAAAGAAAGAAAGAAAGAAAGAAAGAAAGAAAGAAAGAAAGAAAGAAAGAAAGAAAGAAAGAAAGAAAGAAAGAAAGAAAGAAAAAGAATGTGAGAAAGAGTTAAAAGATGGACGGGCATTAACAAAATTATGAGTAGGAATTTAATAAAAAATGAAAACGAAAATGGAGATAACACGACAAGAGGAGGCGGAAGAGAAAGAGAAAGAAAGAAAGAAGAAAGAAAGAAAGAGAGATGCGAGATGATTATAATGATGATGACAATAGTTATGATAATGATGATGCCGAAGCTGAAGGATAGAAGTAAGGAATAATTATGTGCACGAAGAAATAAAGACAGACAGAAACTATAAAAAGAACAAAAACATGAAGAAAAAGGCCAAGAACATTTGGTTTTTAAACCTCTGATTACTGATAAACTAATTAGAAGTCTCACACGTCAAGTGATAAAGAGTTCAGAAGTAATCGGTTCCACCGGCGACACCCTCTCAGGTTCGCGGATGCATTCTGAGCCTTCTGTTCTCACCTATTGTTCCACCCGTCATCTATTACAAACTCACCTACGTCACATGCGTGAATGGATGGCAGTTTGGCAGTTACCTATACATTTGCCATCGTCAATTATTCCACGTATTCTTCTCAGGTGCGCGGAAACGCACTCCTTGCTTTACGCAGGCAAAATATTGTTACAATTTCGATATTCATAACAAAAGTAAAGGATCCTTTTTAGGCCTGTTGAGCATATAGGGCTTGACCTATATTTTATGGACCAATCGGTACTCGGTGGGTGACGTGGTCAGCACCAGGTCGGCCACATTTACTTCTCAGGACTTTACCTGGCACCCATTTATAGCTAAACCGACCTGGGAGTCAAGGTCATAAAAAAAGTACGATTCCTTTCGGATTCGCAAACGATCGATTACATCGCTAAACCACCACGGCGGCTCACCTATAATATAACTGTTTAGCATAACTGCATTTTAAAGGCCCCTCAGAACCAGAACTTAGGCAACATATGAACAAACTCAGGTGAAAGTGCTCACCACAAGGAATATAAATAAAATAAGATAGCAAAGGAACCGTCCTTGAAAAAGCAGGCCATCAGGCGGCTAAAAAAGGACTAAGCTTGGAATTTTTGTTTGATTTTATACGATACGATGCATTTTAAACCAACAGTAACCTTGTTGACAGTGTCATGGTTCACTTGCTGTAACTGATGTTGACAAGTTAGACACGTTCTTGAATTCTCTTGTGGAGACTAGGTATTGGCTTTTTCTGAACGTAAGCAAGTGAAGTGCTGGTGTCATTCTGAATTCTTCTGATCCATCAAAAATGGCCAACATACAGAACCGGAAAGGCAGTACGGAACACTGACTGCACTATACAAATAAAAGGGGAAGAAGTCGAATGTTAAAGCTTGATAAATCGAAACATAATTTATTTTGTCCTATTTTATATGAAGACGTTTTGAATTGTGATGTTGATCACCAAACCTCACAGTGGCTGGCAGTGACGAACGCAGGGTACCAAGTTGTCGACGTTACAAATAACTAGTTGAGTTGCAAATCGCTGGACAAAATTCCAAGTCGAGTTTCAAGCCAATAATTAAGCGACGAAGTCGCGCAACTCGAGTTTACCTCTTCTTTGATGTACTTACCCGTTATGTAATTGTTCTATGATGTGCTTATAGAATAGTAATTATGTGATTTTTGTCTGTAGTGTACCTACTAAATATGTTCTGTTTCTCTGATGTACATGTTAGTTTTGTGATTGTTGTCTGTGTTCTACATACCAGTTATGATTTGTCTGTGATGTACTTAGTAGTTATAAAATTCTGTATGTAGTGTAATTACTATTTATGTGACATGTCAGTGATGTACCTTCTAGTAATGTGACTGTGTCCGTGGTTTAGCTAAAAGTTATGTGATTTTTTTTCTGTGGTGTGTCTACTAGTAATGTGATTTTTGTATGCTGTGCAACCTCCTAGTTTGTGATTTTTTATCTATTATAATAACTAGCTGTGTGATTTGCTGTGATGTAGCCTACTTACTAGTTTCGTGACTGTGTCTGTGGTGTAATTACTAGCTATGTGATTTACTGTGATGTGCTCACTACTTACTTGATCGTGTCTGTGGTTTACCTACTAGTTATGTCATTGTTCTGTGAGGTGCTCTGTAGTTTTGTAATTTCGCCTCTTGTATACACACTAGTTATGCATTTGCCCTGTGACACTCAGCAGTTATATAATTCCTTCTGTTGCGTGCCTACTGGTTACGTGATTGTGTACGTGATATATCTACTAAGTGTGTAATTTATCTCAGATGTACTTAGTAGTTATGTGATTTCGTATGTGGTAGACCTACTAGTTATGTGATTTCGTATGTGATGTACTTACTAGTTATATGATTTCCTCTGTGTAGTATTTAGTTATTTGATTTCGTATGTGATGTACTTACAAGTTATGTGATTGTCTCTGTGAAGTACTTACTAGTTATTTGCTTTCAAATTAAATTTACTTACTAGTTATATAATTTGACGTCTGGTTTCCATATATCCTCGCTGTTCACTCTGACTGTGCTAATATTGCCATAGTCAGACTCGTTCCACTGCAAATACATGTCGTTCCAATTCTGAAAAATAAGACACGTTAATTATAAGTATTACGTTTCTAATTTTGAAATACCCCCCCCCCCCCCACTATATACTCAGAAATGCATATTCTTCCAATTGTGAACAATAGAGACATAATTTCAGTAACACATAAATATCTTTCTAACAGAACCCTTTCAAATCCTACATACTATATTTTATAGACCAATCGGCACTCTGTTGGTGATGTCCACACAACACAGGCCACCTTTACTTCCAAAGACTTTACCTGGTACCAATTTAAGGCAGGGTGCTGCTGCAAGCCAAGGTCACTTTAAAAAAAAAAAAAAAAAGGTCCGGTTCTGGCAGAACCTGAAGCCACGACGTTCGGATCCACAGGTGAACTTCTAGCCGATGCACCACGGTGGTTCCCCCTTCAGTCAGCTAATGCAGTCAATAACTTCTGTTACCGATTGTCTTTCAAAGCAAATTATCTAGCATTGCCTTTGTATTTTCATGTGTCTCTTTTTTCTCAACAAATTTTCTGATTCCGACAACGTACTAGTTTCCACCCTCTCTTGACATGACACAAGAATGTGAAAAAATTATATTTCTTATGCGGACAATCAGTTCTCTTCGTGGGTTCATTTTACTTAAGCCATTTTATGTCTAACTAACTAACTAACTAACTTATCTGCCCACTGTGTTCTCCTTGTTCATTTATAAAACCATTTCTCGAGCGAATAATCAGTATAAGTCAGTGTCTGTGGCTTAGGTGTTGCAAACGCATTTCGTAATGCCGCGATACCGGGTTTTATTCTAGCTGCTGGGAATTTGACAACAGTCCACCTTGCATTGGTTCTGAAAGTGGTAACGAGAGCTCACCGTTAAGTAAACAAAACAAAAATACCAAATTATATTTGCCTAGAAAAACTACAACAGTCGAAAAATGTTAGGGTTGGTTCTGCAATGTCCTGTGAAGAGCATGCGACCAACTTTAGAAGTAAAACTAAAGTAAACTGACTCTCCTGTAATTTCGACGAAGGCGTAATGGAAGATAGAGATATTAATTCAGTATATTCCCAGACTGGGCACATATTAGATATAATATGCACATAATTAGGTGGCCATCTTGACATACCATAGGAATGCACCAATAAATACATTTGTTATCGGTTATCGTAAATAGCATACTGGTTCGTGTATCAGGGCTATACATGCGTGTGCGTTATCCATGGCGGTTATGCATGTAATTTGGCCGTTGTTGTGATTCACTTGTCTACTCCCTAATGTGTTTATTATATCTATTATTATGTTACTCTAATATTGCGATGTTCTTGGTTATCCATTATATGGATGTATAGGTTAACCCATTATCGTGTCGTGATCTACATGTTTACCAATTAGTGTGATATATGCGATTATCCATTACTTTAATGGATATGTCTAACCACTTGCATGATGTTTATGGATACCCATTATGCGATGTACGTGTTATCCATTACTGTGATGTATAAGTTTATCCATTATTGAAAGCTGCAAGTTTTTATTGAGATACATGATAGATATATTTTTGTGATGTATCTGTTTATCGATTACCATGATGTATATGTTAACCAATAAGTGTGATGTATTTGTTTATCCATTATTGTGATGAGTATGTTTACTCATTTTTATGATGTTTATCAATACCCACTGTTGTGATGGACATGTTTACACATTATTATAAGTGTATCGAATATTGTAATGAACATGTTTATTCATTATTGTGAGGTGTATATTTATCCATCATTGTGATGTGTTTGTATATATATAAATATATACGCATTAATGTTATGTGTATGCTTATCTAATATTTTGACGTATTTTTGTATCCAATAATGCGATATACATGTTTGCTTATTATTCTAATGTATATGTTTATTCATAAATATGATGTATATGTTTATAGATTATTGTGATGTACATGTTTAACCATAAATGTCATTGTTTGTATCTGTTTTTTGTTATGCATGTGTTCCCCCCCCCCCCCCCCCCATCCATGTGGTTCTCTATCTACTTTCATCACTTTGATCCTGTGGATTCCAGTGCAAAGATATTCTACTTAAATTTAATCTCAAGTGTTCTCAACAGACATCTTATCAAACGCCAGCGTCTTTTTTTTACCCGTTGATTCGCTGGAATTTGTTGAAGTTTTTCTATAAAGTTCCACATGTTATCATAACATTTAATTTCTCCTCCTCTGCGCAGGAACCAGCTAGTGTGTGTGTGTGTGTGTGTGTGTGTGTGTGTGTGTGTGTGTGTGTCTGTGTCTGCGTGATAGAGAAGAGAAAGAGAGACAAAGAGAAACAAGACGAAATAATAAACTACTGGAAAAGTTTCACACTGATGGAAAAAATTTGCGAATTATTAAAAACACGTATTGACAGCAAGCAGCAGCTATAATAATTGAGCACAAAAATACTGATACGAGGTTTTAGTCCAGTAACGTGGTTTCTGTATTTGTCTTGAGCTTCTCGGGTGGCTTGGGTGTTGGATTTGTTCATCGTTTTGCAGGTTTCTGCTACACCATTTATCCACATCTTTCTTGGTCTTCTTCTCGCCTTCCCCGTAGATGTTCTGCTGTAAAAAGAGTTTTTCTTAAAAAGAATTGGTTCAACTTACGTAAGTTGCCCAGACGTTTGTGCTGAGAATCTGGTTCTTTTCGTCCAAATCGAGGATCTGTATGAGCGACATACCGTAGTATATTGTAATAGTGTCGTTCTGTTCCTGAACTGGCCGACCCATTTTCCCTCTAGCGCTGTAGTTTCCTATCAAGTCTCTGATCAACCTCTTCTCGTGAGACATCTGTATGACACCTGCCAGAATAAAAACATAAATTACAGGTTAGTCGCATACCGGGGTTGTCCAAATTAAAAAAAAAAAAAATATTGGGGAACTCAGCTAATAGTAACTTTTAGGTAGCAGGATGATTCAAGGCGCTTGAGGCTTTTGTGTGTCCTTTATTATAAGAATTATAATATTTATTATTATGTGCTGAATGGCAAACAAATATATGAATATATTTGGTGCATTATTACTATGCTACCCTCACCATGGGAAATCCACAGGTCACGGGACAGTCTAATATTTCAGGGGGTGGTAGACAGGCTGCATGCAGACGTGGGACCTAGGCACTCACTCGTGGGATGTAGGTGGGTTAGTGTTAGGGCCAGTTCTATATATTTTAAGGGCGTTAAAAGCATCAGAAAGCCGGGAAACCTAGTCTTCCCACCCTCCAAAATGTTGCACTGTCCTGTGACGTCATCTGGGGTAGGAAGCACTATATATTTCAAATAAAATAAAATACATTTGAAAACAATGGGACATAGAAAAACAAATGCTTAAAAAGAGGACGCCTATACATTACTTTGTTGTGTTGGGAGCGGGGAGAGGTGGGCAGGCATTTAGTCTTGTTACACATTTTTAGGGGTCTATTTCTATGGCCTCAGGGGTTTCCCAACAGCTGATGTTTTCTCCGTGTAGTAATTGGTAGGTGCGTTCACTCATTCGGTCCCAATGGAAGTACCTCTGTGATCAGTAACTACCCATAAGTATTTGTACACTCTGTATTTTCATCTTATTGTCCATATTATCAGCATCAATTTTTTATTATTCATTAGAAAAGAATTACTCCTAAATGTGTAATAACCGTCAATGATGTTATTTTGGGACAAGTACAGAAATTCAAGTATCTGGGCACATGGATAACATCAGATGGAAGATGCATCACTGAGATAAGAAACAATAGGACAGGCAAAAACTGCATTATATAACACGAAGAATATCTTATGCAATATATCTTTGTCATTGAAGGTTAGAAAAATAATTCTTACATCTATCCAGTTTTAACATTTGGCTTTAAGTCCTTGAAAATCCGTAGGCAGGCCAAACAATTTCTTGTGGCCTCATAGATGTGGATTTACAGAAAAATGCCAAAAAGACAGCCAAAAAGAACAACCAAGAGGTTTTGAAAGAGGCGGGAGCCCTGAGATAAATTATCACAGACATAAAAGGAGTCATCATTTTTCGCCCGTTACGAGAAAAGGGAAACAATGAACATGTTGTGACCACTTAACAGATCTGTGGAAGGAGGGATAGAGGAAGACAACGAGAGAAGATTCTTGACAGTCTTGTTGCATGTCATTGAGGTGTGTCAGCACACGAACTGATAGATGCTGCAGGAGATCGCAGATTGTGTAGAGGCATGATTGCTCACGCCAGTCGGTAAGGCACATGATGATGATGATGATTTTCATATATCTTTTACACTAGGTATGATTGTACAAATTAAATAATAATAATAATATCAATAATAATAATAATAATAATAATAATAATAATAATAATAATAATAATAATAATATGATATTTTAAAATGTCCCACCAGTGTCTATTCCATCCTTGATCCTTAAGCACCCGTGTTTTTCTCATTATTCCTTTTTGTCTTTTTGGATATCTGCTAGTGAAACAGGCATGTATATATTTACATAAACGCAGGTCGATATACAGATAATGAGCCACACAGTGGCTGCACAAATGCCTGCCTGTCCGAAGGTCTTGTGTTTGAACCAGACGCAGGTATATTATTTATAATTAACAATGGCTCCTGGTTCGATCTAGCCTTAAATTAGTATCAATCCTGGAGCTCCAGGACCCGGTCTAGTCAGTGCGCAACTGCTGCTACAATTTAAACACCTATATTTGCAATTGGAATCCTCTGTTAACTGCTAACAGATTTATAACATGTTGTAGGAATCAACAATGGAGGAGTTATTTTGTCGTTTTCACGTTACGTGTGTCATTTCGGCATCTTTGAGCTAATGTTAGCCAAGGATTTGTGGAGAGGCATCTATTCTGGGCAACCATTGGCTCTGTTATTTTCCCTTATAGCGGACACACGAAGAGGGCTGACCACGGGCAAAGAAATGTTATAGAGAGACCATTAATTTTTTTTTTAAATACGCACAGATATTGCCCACGTAAATGGCTTTCAGTCTGTCAGTCAATCTGAGGGGCTGTCTGTCCATGAGTCTGTTTATCCATCCATGGCACCAATCCATATATCCATCCATCCATACATAGACCCATCTATACATTTCTAACCCTTTGTTTTTGTCTGTCTGCCTGTACCATTTGTTGACTAACACTGGCTTTGTAGAAACAGGTTTGTCACTGATAATTATAACACAAACATTTAAAATGCAAACAAGATTTTGTTAAATAACATTTTTTATATTAAACTTTTGAAATGGGGCCATTTCTGATTTGACTGGTAATGCCCAAAATATCCACAAGTGTTTTAAGGACAGGTTAACCCCCCCCCCCCCCCCCCCCCCCCTGCCAAACAACTATTGTTTTTCCAAAAGTGTGGAATTTACATTTTTAACATTACATGAAAGTGTATTCATTTCTGCACACAACAATCCATGTCTTGTTGCAAAATTCCAGCTGAAAGTAATTAAAATTAATTTTTCCAATTTGTATGGTAACTATCTATTTACCTAATTATATAGGCAAAATATTCAAACTTTGATAACTCAGTTATTTATCAGCTATTTTTATAATTACTGCGTCCAATTGTTAGAAATTATATAACTGGGATAGTCTAATCCCTGTAACCCATGTTGGAAGATACAGACTATAAATAGCTGTGAGTGCTGCAGTTACTTTATGAAGTCAAGGGGAACTAGTCAGAGCTAAACTATGGCACAGTGTTTCCACATTTCGTAGATTTTCTAAAGTGCGTGAAAGAGCTGCCAATGAAGGGAATACAATAGTTAAGAAGATAAAAACAGCAAGGTAAAGTATTCAGACAGCTGACGAATACTCTAAGGAGGATTCATAAACAGCAGGGACTCATTAGGTAGAGGATTTTTGTGAAAACCAGCTTGGTCAGTTACTTTTTCGCGATTATCTGAAAAATAACTTTTTTGATGTTTGTTTCTGTGTTGTGCAATGATATCTCAAAACGTTAGTAATATATTGTCTCCAAACTTGGCACACACCTAGGAGAAAAACATTGAAGCATACTGAACAAGAATGAATACAGCAGCTATAATTATTTATGAGTTTTTGTCATTTATGATAACCCTTGCTCCTAATTTTTTAAGAAATATTTTTTTCTACCATTGAAGTGACCATAACTTTTAAACCATAGCTTTTATTGAATTGTCTTTAGTTCATAACGTTTAAAACATAATGCTTAATTTATGTTTCAAATTTTCATAAAGCCACCTTTGTTAGTATTTTGAATATCTTCGTAAATGTTTAGAACTAATTTGGCTATTTTCAGCATAAAATATGACATTTTAAATCAATATCCGTGAAAATATGTTGATTTTAGCAACACAAATAAATTTTCCTTCAATCTTTAACTAGTATGTACCTACAGGAAGTATTGTTTCTAGCAGACAAAAATAAAATCCAGTTTGGGAGTTTAACCCGTCCTTACGATATAGTTGATATTTTCACCTCGCTATGACTCATAATGTAACAGATTTCGAATACTTGGGCTCTTTAGTGAACAACAATGGCCACTGCTCAAAGGAAGTGAGAAGAAGACAATGCAGATATAAAAAAGCACGAAGAACCAATGGCAAAGCACTAGTAGACTGGTTAAATTAAAAATTTTGAGATCATGCATTTTTCCTGTGGCAACTTACGATTGTGAGTCTTGGACTCTCACTTAGTCACTGAGTAAAAAAGATTGGAGCTTTTTAAATTAAAATGTTTTAGAAAAATTCTTAGAATACCATGGACCAGGAAGAGGAAAAACATCGACATCCTGAACTAGCTGAACATCAAGGAGAACTGGCTCATAAACAGCATTCTGTCCCAAAAGGTGAAGTATTTTAGCCACATCAAGGGTCATGGTGGCTTGGAAAAGACGGTGATGGAAGTTGCAGTTTGTGGAAGGCGAGACAAGGGTCGACCACCGCGAAGATGGATACAGGAAATTGAAGATGCATTGGCATTGAAAGCAGAGAGCGGGCTAGAAAAGGAGACTTTCAGGCGTGCCGTGAAGAGAGCGACGTTCTGCAAAAGACTTGCTGACTGACGCATGAGTTAGGGACCAACATCACAGTACTCGGGACATTTCGATATGTATTTCGCACCCATCTTCATCAGCAAGCACAGAACTATCATTTAAATGGTACCAGTAACTGATTTAATGACCGTTTCGACCTCCCCCCCCCCCCCCCCATACCCACTCACCCACGAGTACTGACTCATGAGAAGTAAGGGTACTGATAGATAAGCATTCACATCCTGAAGACATCAGCGTCTACACAGCGAGAATCAAGGTCAGCATGGGCACACACAGCGCAAAGAATGTGGAAGATAATACAAGAGGACAGCTGTGCTTACCAGGTGAATACGTCAAGCACAACCATGGATATAGCTGCTGCTTCTAGAGCACTAGCATAGGCAGCACAGCAAACAGTCATACAAGCAGTAATTGTATCATTCTTCGTGAACATGTTCCAGAAGAAAACAACAGGCGGTATAAGCTCTGAATGGGTAGAAAGAATTCGGAAATCGCACTTAACCTTGATCTACACACGTAGTCGTGCGGGCGTAAAGGGTTAAGAGCCAGCGGACAAACTGGCTAGCGTTGCACCAACGATTATGGGAAGAAGCATGGACAGAGTAGATATCGTCAACACCGTACGGAGTGGTTTAGTAGATAATGACACTAACACGACTGCGTGGCATGGGAGTAAAGTATGGTTAAGCATGCCAATGCCGCCTTTGAGGCCTAAATAGAAAACATTATATCTAGCTTCTCGTGGAAACAATTATTA